TAGTTCAATGAAAATGTCAACCCAGCGTGGTGCAGTAGAACTGCAATACTGCCCCTCTATGGAAAAGCCTCATTTGGAAGACTTTGTGCAGTTCTGGCCACTGTATCTCGAAAAGGTCATTGCAGAGCTGGAATAAGTACAGAAGACAACCAAGATGATTAAAGGGTTGGAGCACGTTTCATATGAAAAAGCCTGAAGAGCCTGGGACATTTGAGGTAAGAAAAGAGACACATAAGGGAAGACATGATGGAAGTTTGTAAAATTATGCAAGGGGCAGACAGTAGACAGGGAGAACTTTTTCTCCCTCCTCCTTAGTATTAGAACATGTGTGTCTTCAATGAAGTTGATGGACATAGAATCAGGACAGACAAAAGGAAATAATTTTTCATTCAGTGAGTGATTAAAATGTGGAATTCTCTGCCAGAGGAGGTAGTGACGGATACAGGCACAGACAGCTTGAAAAAGGGTTAAACAGATTCATGGAGGACAGATCTGTCAGTGGCTACTAGCCATGGTAGCTAAAGGGAACCTGCATATTCAGAGGCAGTAAACCTCTAAACACCAGTGCAAGGAGGCGACATTAGGGAAAAGCCTTGGCCTCCATGACCTGTTGTTGGCCCTCCAGATTAACTGGTTGACTAATGAGTGATCACAATTGTTTTCAACAAAGGACCCAGCAACAGGATATCAGTACAAAATTAACATATTGCTGAACAAGTTCTTTAGACTTTAACAGTATATTCAAAGTTGATATTTTTTATTCCAATGGAAAAACTTCATGAAGAGACCGAGGTCCCCATACAGCAAGTGCAAGAACAAGTGCAAGTACGAACTTTCTCGAGCTGACTGTTCGTTTCGACCTTTGTCTTCGTCAGATGTCAGTTTCTGGTCTTTTCTATTCGGAGTTTCCAATAATTCCAACGATAAGTGTCAACATTTCAAGAATGGCTATTCAAAGCTCCCTCATTCACAAAATTTTTCTTCCGGATAGTAAATCTATCAACTTTGAATATACTGTTAAAGTCTAAAGAACTTGTTCAGCAATATGTTAATTTTGTACTGACTAATGAGTGAGACAGAATGCTGTACTGGAAGGACCACAGCTCTGGATGTTCTAACCAGGTAAGTGGAACTGCTCCCTAGGGTAGTAGATCAAGACCTTGCATTCAGGTAGGCTTTGTCATGCTGTGTATGTTGGAAAGAGCAATACCCGCCTAACCTTTACATTTTCACATTCAAAATTTGCTGTATAAGCAGCTTTAGTTCTTATGTGCAGTATCATGCAAAGCCTTACTGACATACCAATGTAATCCCTAAGCTCCAGACATCAGAGCGTACATCATATCCTTGCCTGGATGCACTGGGGTCTATCCTCTCTGGCTGAAATGAAAAGAGGAATACAAGTTACAAAAGAAAATGGTACAAAACACTGCTATGATGGATATCAGACAATGCATACCTTAATTAAATGGGCAAGAGCTAGCCAGTTACTGTGAAGTACATCACAAATATGATCTTAATAATCCTTACAAGAGCCCTGTATGATAGATGACTATTGCTATTCCTGTGGGTGCAGGTCTGAGGCTCAGAGACTTAGCTCAAGTCACCTAGGGAGTGTGGGGGTGAGGTGAGATTTATGGAGTTCAGAGCTCACACTTATAGCCACTACATCTCACCAGCTCTCATATGCAATAAGTGTGTGTGAAGTTTCTGCTATGCAAAAATACCTCTTGACTGAGAACAATGACTTTAAAATCAAGTAACCAATACCAAACATGAAACAAGACACGGAGATACTGTTTTTGAATTGTCTAAGTCATTTTTGGATTTCTGGGAGGAAAAAAGTTTTAAGCATGATAGCAAGTACAGGTAACTTATATGCACTAGAATTTAGCACCCATGGCCAGACACAGCAGTTTGCAGGTAATATTCTCTCAAAAGGCAAAGAATTCACACAAAGTTCAAATGCAAAGACAGTCATTAAGATGGCAAGGTTAGTGGTAGAGGAAGTTGTTACAGTTTCCTCAGACTACCTCCACAATCAGTAACTAGGAAAGGCGCCCTAATGACACATCAACACTTCCTTGTGCCCAGAGCCAGGATTTTTTTTTTTTTTACTGGGATCTCTCCCAAACACACTACCAGACAGCTACACATAATCTGTTTAACCTCCGTACTACAGATATTGGCATACTCTGCTTACAAAAGTCAGTAAACTAGGCATACTGCCTTTAAAAGCTGGTCTTGCATCTCCACCTTGTGGCAGGAGAACTTAAGGGCATTTTCAGCCTTCGCTGGATCAACCTAACTCTGCCATGTTGGCACCAGTATCTCAGCCTTGAGCAGGACACACTGGTGTCTGCTGCATGGACTTCCTAACATATGACTTGGCCCTCGGTTTAAACCAAATCAGGATATGCAGCTGTGTAACTCAGCTTCTGTACCCAGAGTAAATTGTGCAAATTTGAATGACAGCTTATTTTGCATAACTGATCATACTTCAAGCTGAGATGGAAGGAGAACTGAAGCTGGGCTCAATGACCACCCCCTTGCTTCAGAGACTTCACCAACTAACAATCATTTAAGGAAATAGATGAGTAAATATGAATCATGTATGACTTAAAATCACATAAGGCTCCAAATATTTCTTAAACATTCAATAGTATTCAATACATGAAATACAAGAAATACAATAGATAGGCTGGAGATTTGAAGCAATATCGAACATTTACTCTTTGAAACGCCTAAAAGAAAATTTCACAATTTAAATGGACTGAAAAGCATGATTTTCAAATGTCCATAAAGCAAAGCAAATACATCCACTTCTTAAGACTAAAGGTAAGCAACATAAAGTACGTTGCAAGCAGCAAGTAGATCCAGTCCTTGGGACTTGAAACAGACAATAAGAAATAGGCTGCAGTCAACTCATCCTCCAGATTATTCAATGAGTTTTCGATTCCTTCATCAGGACTGCAAACGGAAACTCCCAAAGAGGCACAGTCACAGGAACTTCTCAGCCAATAATACCTCCAAACTGTCTCATTGTACAGCAATGTCTCTAAAGTAAAATTATATACAATACATGTAAACATCAAGATCGCCTTCTCAATAAAATTTGACTTGCCAATAAAGATAGAATATATTACCAAAACTGCCTTATTTTCTTTTATTCATGATGGATACATATAGCCAGACTCTGTAGGTGCTTTTCCATCTAAATGAATGTAAAGATGGCTCTTGAGAGCTATCATGTATCTCCCAATACTTAAAGCCCATTCATGCCTTCCAGGTGCAAATTAACTAATCAGTTTAACAATGGTGTCAGTTAAAGGAAAGCAGTAAAATCTACATATGCATTGAGTCCCGAAGGTTCACATGCTCCTAATTCAAAGATAAACTCCACTTCCTTTTGTAACAAAATGTTTTGTACTTTTTCTTTTCTAAAGGTGTTGTTTTGATGTCTGTAAATTACACAACATTTTATATCTTCTATGCTGTGCTTCTGTTCCTGCCAATGTTGAGTCAAAGGTGCTTCCCTAACGCAGGGCTTTTTTTTGTAGAAAAAGGCCAGCAGGAACTCATTAGCATAATAGGCCACACCCAACAGCAGAAACTCGTTAGCATATTAGGCCACATCCCTGACAGCGCAGCTCATTACTATACTAGACCACAGACCCATGCCTTCCCTTGGCTTGCCCGGGTGCCCTTTGACTGTGGGGAGCACGGGCAAGCCCCCCCTTGAAGGGAAGGGAATGCAGTTTAAACTGCCTTCCCTTGGCTTGCCTGGCCTACCTGTGGCTGTGGGGCGCCCGGGCAAGCCAGCCCTTGGAGGGAAGGGAAGGCACGGGGAGGCAATTAAATGCCTCCCCGGACCTTTCACTGGGCCCCCACCCCCCCCGCTTGGAGTCGCCGGGGGGGGGGGGTGTTGCTCTCCAGGCCTTCCCTCTGTAGCCATGAATGCAGAGGTTTTGGCTGTAGTGGGCGTGGCCAACTCTAAAGCCAGCCGGAACTCCGTTCCTGTGCGTTCCTGACCAAAAATAGCCCTGCCCTAATGTCAGTAGCAATTCTGGAGCAGTGCTCCAGGACACAAGTTTTAAAAGCTCTAGTACTAATCCTGACATATAATTTTTTGCATGGACATAAGATGACATACACAATATTTTTATTTGCACATGTGGAATAATGACAACATTTAATCCTATAACCATTAATAGGACTAACAAATTCTGTTATTTCCATGGTGTACTTACAGATAGAGCATTTACCATACTTTTTATGTCCTATGATCCTGTGAGGAACTAAAGTGGTTTCCTCCAAAATGTCTTCATGCACTAATATGTTTTTTATATTTTTTCTCAGTCGAAACCCAATCTTGGGTGTACTTGCACATCCTGGCAAGTCTGAGATCATGTGCCAGTGTTTTCTAACAATTCCAGCTATTTTAGATGCAAGATTAAAATATTGTAAGCCCCAAGTCATAGATGTGCCAGACTTTTGGCCCATTTTCTTAAAAAGATGACTACGATCAATTTTTTCAACCCTATCTTCAGCTGCACTAATAACTTCCTTTGGATATTCCCTATTAATAAATTGCTGACATAAAATCAGTTTTTCTTTATGATAATCACTCAAAAATTTAGAATTTCATTTTGCTCTGAAGTACTGAAGTTTTTTCTTAATGGCTGAGAAGTTTCTGTGGCTGTGCCTCTTTGGGAATCCCCGTTTGCAGTCCTGATGAAGGGATCGAAAACTCATTGAATAATCTGGAGGATGAGTGGACTGCAGCCTATTTCTTATTATTTGTCTCAAGTTGTAAGGACTGGATCTACTTGCTTGATTGAAATGTACTTTATATTGTTTATCTTAAGTCTTAAGAAGTGGATGTACTTGCTTTATGGACATTTTCAGTCCATTGAAATCATGAAATTGGAATGTGTGAAGTCTTTCTTTTGGGAGTGTCAAACAGTAAATGTTAGATATTGCTTTAAATCTTCAACCTATCGTATTTCTTGTATTTCATGTACTGAATACTACTGTATATCTGAGAAATATTTGGAGCCTTATGTGATGTTAAGTCATACATGATTTATATTTACTCCTCTACTTCCTTTTAATTTTTTTTTATTTTCTAATCTACAAAACTACAGGGTCAGGGTAATGGAACAACCTAAAATAAAGAGTAACAAGGATCCATGATACAGAAATATAAAGTTATTGATACGTCTCTGTTACCTTAGTAGTAGAACATGAAGATTACTAATGCAAAAATGTCATGCAAGCAATCATAATCTTTTTAACTAAGGTGTAAATATCATAAATTAAAGTTATGCCTTAACAATAAACAACAGGCTATCAGAGTTAATCTGTTTTGCAGTTTTCTTTCCTCTTAACAAAGTCCAAATTAGTTTTTAGATGGTTTAGGGGCAAGAGCCCCTAGTTCTGCTTCAGGATCAGAGAGTTTTGCCAGACTCCTCCTCCTCCTCCTCCTCCTCCTCCTCCTCTTCTTCTTCTTCTTCTTCTTCTTCTTCTTCTTCTTCTTCTTCTTCTTCTTCTTCTTCTTCTTGTTCTTCTTCTTCTGTCTTTATCTGGTCCAGTAGAGGGCGCAAAGCTACAGGAGTCAGTTTGGGAAAGTCTGTGTTTACTTCTGGTCTGGTAGCCGGCAATGCTGTGCTGGCAGTTCATATTTTAAGTTTCACTTTTGATGCCTTTTTTTCTGTTTGCTGTGTCATTGTTTATACATGAGGAAAGTTTAAAATTTCTCCGTAAGTCTGGAATTTATCGCTTTCTTCTTGGTCTGCCGCACACTTCATTGTAATCTGCTTCCTTTGAGCCGCCCTTTCAGCCTCCCGCTTTAAACTTAGTCATTTCGGGATCGGGCATTCCCCTCCCCCTTCCGCTTGTTTGGGGTGGCTTTACTAGTAACGATTTATCGATTGTTTGCTGGATCATGGCTTCACTCATGTTTGTACTTGCGTTCGCTTGGCATGTAGAGAGGATAGTTTCTCGGGATCCTTATATGCTCTGTCCGGTGTATGCCTCTTGGTGCCATGCTGGCTCCGTGCCGCGGGGGCCTATTGGGGCAAAAAGGTGCCTTAGTCCTTTGGCTTCCACCTTGGGAGAGGCACCTCTCACACCCCAGGCTGAGACCCCCCTACAAGGGGCCTGGGGGGTCCAAGATCAACTCGGACCCCCCATCGGCACATTTGTGGTGCGCTCACATCAGAGCTGTGATGGAGCACACCCACCTTCGAGTCGCTGAAACCGGAAGTCTCCTATTTCCTTACATTATTGTTAGCTTCTCAGAGGTCAGCTCTGCTTTGTAGAAATTTTGTAGAAATTCAGGATTTTCAAGATTAATTTGGCCTGTTTTCTTCCTAACA